GAGAGAGAGAGAGAGAGAGAGAGAGAGAGAGAGAGAGAGAGAGAGAGAGAGAGAGAGAGAGAGAGAGAGAGCGTCCACCATGAATGCATCATCGGTCATGATTGTTTTTGTGAGTGAAGCTGCAACAGGTCATCTAGTGCAAGCTTACACGCGATCTACTGTTCTACTGTATAACACACACATTCTAAGTTACACACGATAGTACGCAATCAACTGGGGTGTAACATACACATGCTTGCTTATAAGCGATCAACTGCAACTGGTTGGTGATCATCAACTTATAATAACTCTGAAGCAATAATATCAACTCATTGAGGGCATCACACTATGTCCTTTTGATTGCAAATCCGCAAAATCAGTGGCCATATCTACTCCTCCTAAAAAGAGGCCTCTATCTGGCCGCTGACTGTGGGATTTTGTGATTATAAATGCCTTGTGTGAGTATATCTTCAGTCATTCTGCGATCAGGCTGATCAGATGTAGGAGGTGGGCTTGTGGTCCAAGAAAGGGTGCTGATCGTCAGACCATTGACATTCGTACAAGCGATAAGGACTCTTGATGCCATCCTGAAATGCCTGCTAGATGTGCGTCTGGAGGGCGGGAAGGAGTCCTGCTGGACACCTTCTCCGTTAAGATTGGAACATACTCGCGGCGCATCTTGTGCGCGGGGTCGAGGCACATGCGGCGCAGAGCGCACACGCACGTGATGCGGCGCATCCCCGAAATGGGGGTCAGTAAAAAAATTCGGGAAGGGCAGGGTGTGATGACCAAACACGCCCCCTCGCTTCTAAAAATTCAAAGTGCAAACGGCTAAAAATTGGGGCCACGTTAAGCCTAAAAACTGCGTATGCATGTTCTATTTTCCAATCGCTTTTGCGAAGGGCCCTTGCAGAAAACTGGCAAGAGCTCATCATGAAGCAGAGATGGTCGTTGAAGTGTGAGCAGGGCGTGGGCAGGCCGGATATATGCTCTGGATTTGAATTCAGGTCTGTGGAGCAGTTATGGGTTACTAACTTCGCTAGGCCAGATCTCTGCACAGTGCACGCGATTCTCTTTTTTTTGTTTTTCTTTTCTTAGGAATAGGTGGAGTGGCCCTAAATCTCGGCCCACTACTCACTATATGCACACAAGACAAAACATATGGCGGTGTATGGTTCCATGTTCTAGCGGAATATTCATTCTAGTTTTGAATCAGTGAGAAGCTCTGAGAATCACGTTCAGAGCCCAACAGGGCCTGGCTAAGTTAGCAACCCATAACTGCTTAAACATAGACCTGAATTCGAATTCACACTATATATTCATGGCCCGTTCTTGCTTCTGCAAATACGGTGCCCACCCCTGCTTGGTGATAGGACCTTCACTTACTTAGCGGAGGGAGTCCGAGGGACCCCTCAGATTCCTTGCAGTGACCCTCCTTTTTACGTGAAAGAGGACTTTTGCCTGCACTCTCTCTCTCTCTTTTTTATACAGACACACCCCACGTTAAAAAAAAAAAAAAGCGTGCATCGTTGCACAGCGCTAATTTACGAAAGGCGCATGGCGCATGCGCACCCCATGGCGCTGCAAGTGTGGATTGGAACAATCGAGAGAGGAGATTAGGTTGGCCCTAGCTCAGTTGGTACACCCGTTGAAATACCGACGTGGGTTCAAATCCAGATGGAACTAAATGAACGAATTTCTGATAACCTTGGGCTGGTCAGTTTGACGATGATATCTCAAGGCCGTCGCCCTATGTAAAAGGGGAGGATTGAAAAAAGGAAGCAAAGAAATATTAGGATGGCCCTGTGTGAAACGGTATTCACCAGTTCGAAGTAGCTGATGTAGGACCCAGGGTTCGATCCCTAGTTCCCCAACTTACCTGTGTACAATATCTGTGACAACTTGAAGAATTGAACCTGCGACCTGTAGAACCGCCAGTGGTAAGTAGGTCTGTCGTAGGTCTTTAGGTAGCCAGGATTTGATCCATAGACCTGTAGATTAGAAGTCCAGCTGCAGTCCTTCTAGAAGGCTGGCAAGTGGTCAAGTGGTGTGACTAAAGCAAGCCCATGTTGGAGACGAGGACAAGTGGCAAGGGCAAATAGTAGGACCCCAGTGCAACTGCACTGCGTCGTAGGGTTGTCACTATGCAGTCATGGGAAAGTCTAGAAAGTACCAGTCCGGTCCAGCAAGTACCATGGGGGGGACTGTGTGCATCATGGGCCAGGGATACAAGGCAGACCAATGCAACACAGAAGTATAAATCAAGAGGCTGCGTCCAGCCATTCATTCATTCCTGCGGAAGCTCTGCGGAAGCGCTGCTCGGGCGTCTTGTGCAAGGGAGGTCTGCAGATGGCCTGAAGACGAAGAGGGCAGAAGTTAGTGATAGGCTAGTTAGCTGTTAGTGGCCATGTGCCATAGCCATAGATAGTTAGTGAGTGTGTATGTGTGTGTGCAGTGGTTGGCGTGCATGGTATCCAGGGTGATCCGGARTCGAGTTGCGTGTGAACTCTGAGTCGAACGTGTAAGTGTGGGCGCCCAGCGCCATAGTCARCTGAAGTAAACTTGGATTTGAGTTGAGTTGCAAGCTACCATATCTCCGAGTTTGAGTTGGGTGCACAGCGCCAAGTTATTCTCATCTGTTGCATGCATGTTTGAGTGTGAATTTGCAAGACTGATTTCATGTGCAAGGATGACACACGTAAATAGCGAAATAGTCGAATTGTACGAGGAATAAAGACCATGGATGTCGTCCTGAAATGTCTGGTAGACGTGCACCAGGAGGGTACACCACCTGAACTGTTAAAATACAGACTTGAGTTTGAAACCAAGTGGAAGAAGATGAGTAAAATACTACCTAGGGCTGGTCAGTTCGATGATCATATCTCAAGGCCATCACTCTTCTTTTCAAACAAAGGAGCACCGGACGCAGTCCTTCAGGACATCCGTGAAGATTGGAAAGACGGAGAAGATTATTAGCATGGCCCCGTGCGAGGACGAGGCACATAAGTCAAGGAGCTACCCTTTTGTTTTTTTTTTTTTTCCGAGTGGGCTTTTGCTTGCATCAATTTCCAAGAGTGTCATACTAGGGTGTCAATTTGTCTGGTTTCGCGTCAGACATGGGCAGAAAGGGAGAAGGGGATGGGTTGCTCGATACATAATGAGTATTAATGACATTAAAAAGATGATCAAATGTGAGTAATAATAATTGTGTATCAGGGCCCGTCCAGACTGGTGCTATCTTCATGAGAGGAAAGCATGAACCTAGCCAGCTATTACGCACAAGTTCATGCACTCCGAGCATAAACATAGCACCTGTGAGGCCCTGGCCTTCACAGTGAAAAAGTTTAGAGATGCATTTCAGAGAGCTCACAAGCATGACACTGAGATTTGTCTTTTGCCCTTCTGGATATAGATCCAGATGCTGCTTCTGATCCTAGGATGTGATGATTTCTTGAGGAGTGTCTGAAAGGGAAAAAAGAAAAAAGATCCAGACGAAGACGCAGCAAGGTGAATCGTGGTGTGCCGAGGCGGTACAGTGTGTTTTTAAACCCTGTTCCACGTCGGAACACTCCCTTGAACCCTGGTCCTTTAGACCTAAACAGGCTTCCATATGAGGAAAGGGGTGAAGGGAACCCATATCACATGTCCCGAGTGCCGTGGTCAGATTTCGAGGACCAGGGTTCAAGGGAGTGTTCCGGTGTGAAACACATTGTGTACGTAATACGTACATATATCGTCATATGCCTCCACACGCTTCCACACACCAAGCGTGTGGAGGCATATGACGATATATGTACGTATTACGTACAGAATGTGTTTCACACCGGAACACTCCCTTGAACCCTGGTCCTCACAATTGTGTGGAGGCATATGGCGATATATGTACGTATTACGTACACAATGTGTTTCACACCGGAACACTCCCTTGAACCCTGGTCCTTGAAATCTGACCACGGCACTCGGGACATGTGATATGGGTTCCCTTCACCCTTTTCCTCATAACCCCTCGGCCCTATTCTCTTTTGTCTCATGTCCCACAATCTCCCCAACCGTTCCCCCTCCCCGTCCTGCTTCCAACCTAATACCTATATGTTTTTGTTTTTGATTAATTATTCTGTGCTTGCATTTCATTGGGTGCAGATCTACGATGCCGGCGATGTCAAGTGTTGCTCAGCCGCGAATGTTCCGGGGAAAACTCAAGGAGTATCAGCTGAAGGGTTTGCAGTGGCTGGTCAATCTTTATGAACAGGTGTGAAAACAAGAAGGGGATTTTTTATATGTTCAACTTGGCAGACCGGGCCTGTGACTGTGCTGTCCGTAATCGTATTGCAGTTGCCGAGCCTCTGGTTATAACTGGTTTTTTTTTTTTTGTTTTTTTTTTCTTTGATGTGTTCAACGTTGGTTTTAGTACTATGTATATTTTCTGATCATCTTTTGTTTTTCCCCCCTTTGTTTCATTTTGCCTCAGGGGTTGAATGGTATACTTGCAGACGAGATGGGATTGGGGAAGACCATTCAGGCAATGTCATTTCTTGCTCACTTAGCAGAGGTAAGGGATTCTCTCTCTCCCTCTCCCTCCCTCTCTCTCTCTCTGTGTCTCTCCCCCTCCCCCCCCGCCCCTTGACCCCCTTGCCCCTCTTTCTCTGTGCCTATGCATTTTGCTCTCTCCATGTTTCTTCGATCACGACAAATGCAGTTCAGGCTTGCAGGTCTCTGAGGCCCGGGGGATGTAGAGAAGTCCTTAGAGCCACGGCATGAAAACTTGTCCGGCAGACGTGATGGGCGGTATGCAACGGGACAGAGTGTTGGAAGTGGGTTGCCTCCTGTTATGATGGCGTTCGAGGGGTCGCATTTCTGCGGCCGAAGCTGTGGATTAATTCCATGCGAGTCTGACATAGTACCAGGAACACAAGAATAGGAAATTGTAATTTATTTTAGGGTTCGCTTTGTTTGGTGAAGGGGAGCAAGGATGCTCGGTGTCTATTGTTAAGTTTATATTTGATGTACGACAGGGTTGCTTGCCAGCCGACGGCGGATGCGGACGGCACACCGTTTGGCGGCCTTCTTGTAGGGCCGAACGGTAGGCAGTTTGCCGACCGTTTGCTAGAGGGCCATCCACTGATTTTTCGTTTAGTCGGAGTTTGGGGCTGTACTGCACTTGCTAAGTGGAGCCCAAATCTGCTGAGAAACTTGTGTGTTGGAAAAGGGAGTTGGCTGGGGGGTGGGGGTTGAGGGACGAGGGTGGTTATGGTAAGGGAGGGGGGGCCTAAGGGGGTGGATGGGGGTGGGTATGGTGCTTCCGTATCTTTGTTTTCTCCTCTTCTTTTTCTGCAGGGTGCCGAACAGTAGGTGCTGATCAGCTGGTCGATCACCGACCAATCAAAGGGTGCCGACCGTCAGCGTGACGCCTCTGACGTACAGTAAAGAAGTATTAAAATTTAAAAACCATCCAATCTTGGAAAGGTAGCAGATAGTATGCGATAGTGAAAACTATTTCACCTTGGCGGTATACCGATCTCGGTCGATACCTCCCTGTTGTGTGTCGTTGAGGCTGTGGGCTGTGTCCTTGAGTGCTCCCTGTGAGAGGGTGGGTTCACTGCGCCGCCAGGAGGCTGAACTAGGTGCGTCCAGCCTACATCCTCTCCTCGCACGGTCGATGACACCCCTCGCAACCTTTTAAAAAAAAAAGGTATAGCGAATGGTGGCAGATCCCACGGGACATGGCCCTTAGTCTGTACACCAGACACGACAAAGATAGTAGAAACAAGGTGCAGAAGTTGGAAACATATGGGAATTTATAGTGGGCAAAGGGGGGTCATATCCGATGTCTAATGTCATTTGCCTGAGTGCGGAAAACTCGGCATATTGAATTCGTTGGACCTTGGTTGAAGGTCGCACTTGTCTGGATTTTGTTCTGGACCGTTGAATGCTAAGGAGTCGTAAGGACTGATGGTCATAAACACATAATCTGGTGGGACTTGATCACTGGACTTCCATATCCAGAACAATGTCTTGGTGGAACTCTTGCCCCCATCATAATGTGTTGAACTTGTGTGAAATTTTGAGCAAAGGATAGCTGTCATGCACTCTTCCGGGGCAGCTCGGGAGTGGTTAGGCCAAACTGACCCACGGCCGCCTTGTATACTGGTGCAGAACCTTGGATCGAAAAGCACACAAAAGCGCTTTAAAGCACCAGTACATGGGCACCTGGGGCGCGGGCCTGACACCTCAAATTCTGGAGGCGCGAAACGAAAATGCGACCGCCGATCGAATTTATCAACGGCGGGCCCAGCTTTGACGTTTCGGCCTCGTTTCCTTCTGGTTACAAGTTTCGGACTGAAAGGCTGGGCCCGTGTACTTGTGGTTTAAGGCGTACTCGCGCTGATGACTTTTCCTGGATGCACAGTGCAATTGCAGTCTTAAGTTCAGTTGCAAAACTTCGGTTCCTTAGGAGGCCTCGCAACTGTACAGCATTAACGGCTCATCCGCAAAATGGGTGTATGTAGAGTCAAAAGAGTGCAATGATGGCTGCCATCTTCACCCGAATAAAACGCCCGAGTCATTGTAGCTGTATTTGAGGCAGCTTTCAGTCTAGATGCAGCAATGATGACCGGGCGTTCTATTTGGGTGAAGACGGTTGGATGGACAAAGCCGGAGGTGGACGTTGTCAGTACGAAGCAGGTTCATCTGTAGAACGCAAAGTAAGATAAGCGATTGATTACATAATTGAGCAAAGAAGGAAAGAAAACTTATGCTCCGTGAGTTGACGTTGTGGAGAGGTCATGCTGTGTGTTGGTGAAGATATTTTGTTTAGAAGTGGAGCTGGATATCATCAGAATGAAGTTAAGTTGGGCTTCTGCGGAGTACAAAAACAGCACGACAGCAAGAATTTTTATCCAGCTTTCTGTGTCATAGTCTTCTTGTGTTTTGTGGTGCTCCTTGTGCACAGGAGAAAAACATTTGGGGTCCTTTCCTGGTTGTGGCACCAGCATCCACGCTGCCAAACTGGGCCGATGAGATTGCAAAATTCTGCTCAGATTTGCGAATTCTGCCGTATTGGGGAGGTCTTCAGGAGCGGACAGTTCTGCGAAAGAATATCAATCCGAAGCGCCTCTACCGCAGGTGCATTCATGCTTCTTTCCTTCCTCTCAAGCATCTTGGAATTGCACTCTGCGATGAACATAGGCGCAATCTGAAGATCTCTCATCTCATTATAGAATGGAATGTACATTTGTTGTTGAAGTCTCCAATATGAATATGAGAGGATAATAGTTGTATAGAAATGGCTCAAGCTGCCTTCTGCCTCATGGAGGAGGTTCCTTGTCTCTTGCTCTCTCTCTCTCTCTATCTCACTCCCTTGCTCCCTACCTCCTTCCCTCTCTCCTGCATGCTTGTCAAGGTAAGATTCTAGTCTCTTTCATTTGTTGTTGTACAGAGAAATGGCTAAAGCTGCCTTGTGCCTTTTGGAGGAGGCTCCCTGCTTCCTCCACCCTTTCCCTTGCTCTCTATCTTCTTTCCCCCCCTCCATTCCTCTCTCCCTTTCTCTGCGCTCGCTTATCTTCCTCCCTGCCTCCCTCTCCCCCTTGCTCCCCCCTTCCCTCCTCCGCCACTCCTCCGATCCTACCCTCTGCCGCTCCCCTTCCTCCCTCCCCTCCCACAAGTGGTTAACAGGGACCCCCTTCTTTTTTCAATTTTGTTTTTGCAAGTAGTTAGTATGATCTCCACTCTGAAAGAAGTGGTTGAGTGGCGACCCTCTCCAGGAGAGATCGAGTCGGGAGGACCCACCTTCGTCACTGGGGAAATCGATGTGTTGAACATCATTCGAGCGTTGGATCATTGGATTCCGCTTCCGATCGGCCATCTGCTTTCGATCTCTGAACAAGCTAATGAGCGAACGTTACAACATTGCAAGGCAAATCGAAAACGGTTCGCCCTCGCCGAACAACGAACGTGAAGGCTAAAAACCCCACGCCAGAGGAAAATACCGCTGACACTTCGGATCCAATACGGGTAGGCTTAATCCAGAAGGACGATCATTTCCTACGGATTAAACCCATCCCTTGGGAACCTGCGGAATGCGACATTGAAATATGGGGAATTCCGTACAATGCGATCATTGATTCAAGAGCTGCGGTTCTGGCTATTACGCTGCGAGTAGTCGAGAGGGCAGGTAGGAAAAACGATCTAATTATGATTGCGGAAAAAGATCAGCTTGTTTCGACAGACGAAGAAAAAATCAAGACAGTGGGAAGAATGACCAATGTTGCTTTTCGATGAGGGAAGGTGCATGCGCTGGGAGATGTCGTAGTATTAAACGTAAATACCTATGATGTCCTTTTCGGCCTTCCCGCTCTTGTAGCGTTACGAGCAAACTTGGATTTCGAGCGACGATCAATAATCCTCCGAAATACGGGAGGAAAACCCTATGCTGTACCTATGAGGCTGACTCTTCGTACAACTATCAACGCAGTCCCGCGAGTTTCTCCGATGATGGCGGGAATTCTTCGCATGATCACGTGGGAAAACTCCGCAGACGATGAACCATCATCGAAAGATACGGATAACAGTGACGAAAATGATCCGGAAATTCTAAAACTAGCACGACAACGTGTTTTCTATCCGCCACCCAGAATGATCGCAATAACGATGCATCTAACTAGTCGGAATGAACAAAGGATCCATGCAATGATTTTGGGCGAACCTCTCGTACGGATTTGGAGGATGGTCGATTCTCTGAAACCCCTCGGACCCTGTACGAAGGAACGACCCCTCTTCTCGCACGATAGAACGATAAGAAAGCTTTTTGCGACATCACGGGTCTACCACGATCCTTGTTGTCTCCCGCAAAAGAAGTACAATCGCTACGCTTGGGGGCAGAAGGCAGTTCTTTGGAACCCCCTGGTGTTTCGTGGCTGAATCAGATGAACTCGGAGTTAAGATCGCGACCAAAACCGTACCATGGCAAGATATCTGCGATGGAATCACCCCAGAGGGACACGTGGCCATCCGGGAGGAAGACGCCCAGATGATGGCCACGGTGTTCTTTTGGCGATCGGACCATTCGTTTATCTCTGCGCCACCACCTGATGTGGCAAAACAAGCGCACACGAAGCATATCGACGTACGGATCTGGGATCAACTCTTCGAGTTACGTGCTCCACAGTACGTACCTGATGAGATTCATCGTTTGATTGCGGACATTCTGACGGAGTATGAGGGAGCAATTAGCGTAACGGACACTGACATCGGCTTGTCGTTGGTCATTCAACACGAAATCCAGACGGGAAATCATTCCCCAATTCACTGCAAGCCTTACCG